CATTTTCCAGAGGGGAAGCCCAGTCATTTAGGAGCTTGCCCTCACCGGCGCTCGGCGACGTCCCTCCGAGCAGTTCTGTGTCCACTCCCACAGCAGCCGAGGCCACGGGGCCTGGTCGTGCTGGCCCTGCACAGCCACCGGCCGTGATAACCTTGGCCTTGGCCTGGAGGATCCTGGGGCTGGTGAGCGCTGGCCAGTCAAGTCATGAGGAGCCTCCAGGCCCTGTTGGGGCCCAGCATGGATGGGGGGTGGGCTGGTCCCCTGTCCTCACGGAGGCCTCAAGCCTCAGTCTCCCCATATGACCAACCAAGGTTGTCTCCCAGGGCTCTGACCAGCCACACTGCGGGTGAATCCAGTGCCTTGGGGGACAGTGGTGGGCAAGGGTGGGACGGGCCACCCCCACGGCGTGTGCATCCCCTTTGAAAAGTCACTATGAACTGAATCCGGGGTAGGGTTTCGGGTGGGGTTGAGTGAGACGAGGCTGGAGAGGTAAGTACAGCTTATTACCATTATCACGGGTCTTGAAGTCTGAAGCAGCATGGAATCAAGCAAGGATCTTAAAAAAGCAGCGACACCAGCAGATATGCCCCACTGGCTGCAGTGGAGAGAGGGACTGGGGGAGATGAGGAGCTAGGGGACAGCGGAGAGCTGTGCGCTGACGTTCTAACACCAGCCGCGTGTGGCCCTGAGCTCCACAAGGTCAGCACACAGGGCTGAGAGGAACACTGCGTCCCACAGACTTGGCGAGAACATGGCAGTGCACAATACAGCAATAGTTTCATGTATTTCATTAATCTCATGGTAATTATATATTGAAAGGATAATATTTTGGATCCATTGGGCTAAATAAAATATATTATGAAAATTAAAAAAAGAAAAGAAAAGTCGTGAAAATTAGAAGAGTGGAGTCAGGCACATTTCTAGCCGCAAAAATGGCCCCACGCTCTGCTGCCACCTGAGCTCCCGACCCACAGGTGCCTTTCCCCACAGGCCCAACGGCGCCCTGGAGGCCTGCTCCTTCGCACGCCACAACCTGCTGCAGACGCTGTACAAGGTCTAGACCTGGACACGAGGCGGCCTCTCCTCGACCCTCAGCCTGGACCAGTGACGGGAAGGGACTCGGACGAAGGGCTCTGGCCAGAGGCAGGGAGGGTCTGTGTTGCGTGTGTCGTGCTGGTCCCGAGTATGTGTGTCGGTGTGGTATGCGTGCCAGTGTGTGCTTCCTGTCGGGGTTTGGGTTTTAACGTCTCCCTGCTGGGCTGGCCCTGGTCCGCTGGAGGGGAGCTGGCCCAGGAGAAAGGGCTGTGAGCTGCGAGCTGCTCTGCCATTAAATTCACCGCCATCTGAGGGCGCTCTGCTGGTCTGTGCCTCAGGCTCGGCCTGTGGCTGTTCCCACCACTTTGCCTTCCTTGCCCTCAGGCTGCACCAGCGCCTGGGGCGTTGCTGCCCACGTGCTGTCCTCCCTCTGGGCTGTGGCTCGGCTGCGTTTCTCACTGCCTGGGCCTCTGCTTCCTGTCACCAAGCCCGGGCCCTGCAGCCACCGCAGTCCCCACCGTCCATCCCTGCTGTGCCGACCCCTCCCATGAGAGGCAGAGACGGCCCTGGGTGGAGCCCCGGGGTGGTCAGCAGAGGGCCAGACCCTGGTGCCGTGCCATGTGGACAAGACAAAAGCCAGTGGGCAGACACCAGAGGGTCCTGGAGTAGAAGATGCCCGGACGGTGCTGGCTCTGGACTCCGAGGAGATGTCCGTGACTGGCCTGGAGGGGCACTGGACAGGCCCACACCTGTCCTCCAGCCTGGGGGGCGAGGGCGGGGCCGGGCCCACTGCTGCCTGAGCTGCGTTACTGAGCTCTTAAAGGAAGGGGCGGGGCCAGGGGGCTGGACTGGCCAGCGATGCCCTCAGCGTCCTGTGGTCCCTCGTGCTGTGTGTCCGGGCTGTGCCTGAGGCTTCATAATAAAGTCGTGTGACAACCGTGGAGACTGAGGAGCTCTTCCCCTCACGCCATTCGGGCCTGCACCTGGCACCCACCTCCGCCGAAGGGGCAGTCGTTCCTGCCAAGGAGTCCCCGTGCCAGCCTCGGGTCATCACCTGGGGCAGGTCTCCCACCACAGCCCGACGCGTCCTCCGTGTGGGCACCCAGCGCCCTGACAGCCGAGCGGTGGTGCGAGGACCAGGCTCCAGCTCGGGGGCGCTGGGGGGTGGAGGGCTCCCCCTCAGGGCCTGTTTCACCTGCCGGCTCCAGGCCACCCTCCCCTCCCTGAGCACAGCGCCGCGGGTCCCAGCATTGCCCCATCTGTGGGCCTGGCTGGGCTGGACACTGCTGACTTCACCACAGGCTCCGCTGTCTGCAGTCAGGACCCCCTGGGCTGGCCAGCAAGGTCACTGCACAGGGTCGGGCCTGGCTGAAGCCACTGAAGGGTGTTGGGCTGTGGGGCCTGGACAAGAGAACGCCTCCCTGGAGGGTCTTTCCTGCCGTTGCCACATGTGGTGAAAGGACAGGCCCGCAGACCCTCCTCACATCATGCCTGGAGAGCAGGCACCCTGGGGTCCACTGGATGGAGAGCTCCTCTAGGTTTTCTGGGGGCAGGTTTTCCTACTGGCTATGGGCCACTCAGGTGACCCTCGCCAGGCGGGGGAGGAGCAGGGCAAGACCCCTGCCTCGGGAATGCTGGGCTCTGGAGCTGCCGGCTGCCTTTGGGGAGCCCCCAGGCCAGTGCAGGAGACCCACAATCGAGGCCCATCGGGACAGTGGCGAGGGCAGGGAAGCTCCAGAGTTAGGGATGCAAGAACTGAGTCTTGAGGTTCAAATAGAACTTCTCACAGGAGATATTGACAGGTGGAGAAATAGGCTCGAGGCTGAGTAGGGGCCTGTCCGAGGGTTCCTGGCCTGGCTGTCCTTTCCTCTCGGTCCCAGGGGTGCAGGCTCTGACTGCCCAGCCCCACTCATCTCAGGCCAGCTCAGCTGTGGGGACCCCCGCACCAGCTGCAGGTTCGGGAAAGCGCTGGGTCCTGAGAGCCCTAGCCAACCCTGAGATTGCAGAGGCTGCAAGTCCCTGAGCACCGTGATTGGGGTCTGCAGGATCATAGAAGCCCTGGCCTGGGAGCCCCACGTGTGAAGGGCCTGCTCAGCACCAGGCTGTCCCCACTAAAGGGAACACAGCCTCTGGCTTGGGGCTAACCCACCAATTCCATTCTGAAACTCCAGCTAGGAAAGCCCAGGAAGTGTGGTCAGGGGTGCCCCTGGCTGCACATCCTGATGGCAGGAGCCAGTATCGGGGAGATGGGTCAGATGCGATGCGGGCCAGTGGAGGGTCCACACGGTGAAAACGTGTCAGCTCGGTGGGAGCATTCCACACACGCCACAGGTGAGTCTGCAGTGCTGAGTGAAGAAAAGCTCAGGGCGATGGCGATGCAGTAGCACGTTAACGTGCGTTTAGGCATCCGTATGTATGTGCGATGCTGTCATCAATGAAAGGGGCGCTAAACCCAGCATCCACAGTAGGACTTAGTCTGGGAAAGGCAGGGGACAGGGTTGGGTGGAAGCACCAAGCACTCAAAGTGACCCAAGTCCATCCACCTCAGAGCCATATTCTTCAAGTGGAAAGAGAACACAGGAGGGCAGTGTTTTGTACACACAAAAAGCTTAAAACATAGGACCTTGGCCTGTGTGATGGGAAAATACCATGGAAGTGACGACAAGGTGAGAGAGTGGAAAGACCTGGCAACATGGGGAGCATAAAACAAGGACCCGTGTTGAGAATATACCACCAGTGTTGTGGAGTACTTACAGAGGGGATGCTGGAGGGCTATATGAAAATGAACACATTCAAAAACAGCATCACGGGTGAATCTCACAGACTAGACATTGAGTGAAGAAAGCCAGACCTAAAGGGTGTGCACCGTGATTCCGTTGATAGGGGATTTGCTGAGTCAAATAGCACATGCAGAGGTTGTGTGTGATGTGGCTATTTCTGCTTAAACAAGAAACAAAAGCTTAGCTGGTGTCGCTCAGTGGTTGAGCCATGAGGCCAGTCCACAATTCCCGGTCAGGGCACATGCCCAGGTTTTGGGCTTGATTCCCAGTAGGGGGTGTGCAGGAGGCAGCTGATCAATGATTCTCTATCATCATTGATGTTTCTATCTCTCTCTCCCCCTATCCCTTACTCTCTGAAATCAATTAAAAAATATATGTTTAAAAATTAAGTCAATTAAAATAATGAAAAATGCAATTTCATGTTTGCTATGGTCTGGATGAACTATTTCATTTAAAAATGCAACTGTGTGCTCAATGGTTAGAGCATTAGCCCTCGAACCAAAGGGTTGCAGGTTTGATCCCCAGCTATCTTTCTCTCTCCCCTTCTCCCCCTACCTTCCACTCTCTCAAAAATTAAATGGAAAAAATATTCAAGTGAGATTAACCTAAATAAATAAATAAACCAGTTTTTTATTCCCAAGAAGTTAATTATTTGTATATTTTTTGCAACACTGTAGCAAAAACTTGGAAGTAACAGAAATTAATGGGTAAGTAAAGTTGACACATTTATACCAGGAAATACTATACAGCTGTCAAAATGAATGAGTATGGCTAAGAATCAATTTGAATAGCTTACAATAATTTGATATTGAGTGGGAAAAAAACATTGCAAAAATGCTGTATGTATGGTATTAGACAATGTAGGTAATGTTTAATCACAAACGGAACAGACAGAGTTAATCATTCTTAAGCACCTACTATGTGCCAGGTGCCTAATTTAATGCCCACAGGAACCCACTGAGCTAGTTACTAATTAGGGTTTCTCCTCACAGAGTAGGAAACTGAGGCTCCGTGAGGCACAGCCCCACACAGGACCCCACAGCTGGAGGCCCCTCAGCCCCTCCAGGCCCCTCCCTGCTGGGCCGCCCTGGGACTTGGCTGCCCAGGCCCGGCCTTCAGGCCTGGGCCGGAATCCTGAGCCTGCGCTGGGCAGGAGGCCTTGTAACTCCAGCCGCTGCTCCCGCCCCTGCCCGCCCCTCCTTCACCTCAGCCTCTGCTGAGCTGCCCACAATGCCTCCCATTCAGCCCTGTCCCCACTGCCAGGCCTGCAGGCGGGGAGGGGGCTCCTGCCAGCATCCAGACAGGGACAGACGCAGCCTTTCCCTTGTGCTGCTGCTCTTCCAGGCTGGACTGCCCGTGAGACGGCATGGAGGGGTGAGTCTTTGGGCCCCGGGAGTCTGGGGCGGGGGGGGCGG